AGTCATGACATTCTATTAGTTTCTCTCTGAAAGTGTGTGCAAGAAACATACATGCACAACCTTACATTTCTAGGTTAAAAATGTTTGAATAATATTCATGTGAAACAGTTCCCGATAAAGTTATCATATTTAAAATTACCTTTTGTCTGCAAATGACTCTAATACATTTTAAAAGACCGCAATCAGGACTAAAAAGGCAGCTCTTATCTATTAGGTAACCAAAACTCAACATAGGTTTCCAGACGTAGACTGACCAAACAAGTGCTTCTGTATCCCTGTGGGTTTTGAACACCAGGAGTTCGGTTTAGACGGATGTGGTTTCAGTAGAGGGGGAGGGCAGCCAGTCACGCCACGGACTCATCATGAGCTCGTTCTGGGCCAGTAAAGTGCTATGTCTAATTCATAAGGACAAAGGATAAGCTGGGATTTTTCTTCACATTTTTAGGGCACATTTTTCTTTATCCTTTCCACATTTCATTTCATCATTTTTTTAATCTTATTATTTAGCTTATTTAATTTTTGAATCATGGGTTTTTTTCCCACTGGATGTATAGTTAACCATGCCTCCTTTACCCAAATGATTTTTAAATTTGATATCCTCTATATCTTCAAGTTATTGATTTAAAAAATGTGAACTGGGTCAGGACCATGGAAAAAGACTTCAGAATAAAACAGATAATGAAGCAATAATATTCATGTTAATATTAATTCTTCAACTTGATAAGGAACTTCACTTGCTAATGAACCTACAGCCAATCCTTTTTGTTTCACAAACCACGAGAATACCTTACTCTCCACGTGATTTAATCTTCATATTAAAGGGATATGAAGATTGATAAATCATTATTGTTATTATTTTATTTCCATTTGTCAAGTGTTACTAGATCACATCTTTGATAATCTCTTCTGGAATTTTATCAGGGATATGTCTCTATTTTATTTTCTCCTTTACTATTTATTTACAATTAGACTAATTTTATATGAAATGATTTCTATAATAAAGCACATGTTTAGATTTAGGTGTGTTTTTTATAACTGGGAGATAGAATTAGATCATCTAATCCAAACCTATTTTAAAAATGAACAAATTGAGGCAGGGAGAAATACATTTATATCAGTGTAAATCTAATTATGCATTTCATTAAGGGAGGTCCTTCCCCATTTGCCAAGGACAATCCTAATTTACTTGAGGAAGTTAACTCCCAAGTTGAAGATACCCACGGAATTTCCTGATCTGTCTTTTCATTATTACGAAGTTGAGCATATTTCATAACTGCAGCCAAGGGAGTTTATGATTGGCCCGACTCCATCTATTCCATATAACTTACGTTAATAAAAATTATCATTAGATGAGAAAGGGATAAATTAGATACCACCACTGCATTAAGTATAATATACCAAACTGTTGACCTTACATCTTTTACTGAAGGACAGACCAAAAAGAAAAAACAGACAAAGACTTTTGTGATTCAAGCTGAAGGGCAGACCCAATGTTACTAATGTTTCTGTGATGAAAACTTGTTATAGAAAATTTTATCTAGAAATAATTCGAATTTCACAGAGCCTGTTTTCAGAGGTTTCAAATGAATATTAAGTACATCACATTTTTAACAATCAAAATGAAAAACCTGTGGCAATTTATTGTTGCCTTTTTCAATTAAGTTACACTTCTGTCGGCTACAAAGACCTAGAATATTAATGTGCCCCATTAAAAAATAAAATAGAGTATGAGTAAATAAAGTAAATAAAGACACAACCCTGAGCATGTGAATTCTCTTCTTGCTCTTTGTATCTGGAGAGGGACTGACCTCGGCAAACGCCGAGCTCCATGTTGCTTAGGCCAGTTCTACTGAAGCAAAGCAGAGGCCTGAGGCTGTGCTCTGGTTTCCAGTTAATCCAGACAGTTAGTTATTCCTGGGCGCTTGGAAACTGCAAGCTCCTTCTATGCTTTGATTACACGAAAATGGTTTGAAAAAGTGTAATGTGTTTAGAGCAGAGAGTAGCATTCTGGTTTTCAGAGAAGTAGGCTCTTGGGGCCTTGAGAGAAAGAGACTAGTACACAATGGGAACAAATAGTGATTATGGAGCTCAAGCCCTGTTCTGAACATTTTGTATGGATTAATTCATTTAACCCTTTTGGTTCACTCAGCCTCCCAGGATTGTCCTCATTTACTGATGAGGGGACTGAGACACAAAGAGCTAAAGACCTTGCCTAAAGTCACAGCAGGTGGCAGAGCTGGGTATAAACCCAGATAATTAGACAAGTCCATAGTCAACTTTCTTAACCAATGTACAATAGTAGACGAGACGTCTAGTATAGAGGGTAACGCGAAAATTAGGTACACAGTTGTGAGTGCATGAAACAGATTTTACTCTTGTATTGTTATTATTTCACTATTATATTATTTTCCATGTGAACAACTATATATTTTATACAGTGAACATTTCTTTTTCTCCCACGTTATCTCCTACTTTTGCTGAGGGTACTTTAAAAAATATATATATATACAGAAATTTATATTTTAGGTTGCCGAGTTTGAGAGTTTTTCTTTATTGTTTTCCCCTTTATTGCTTAAGAGGGTTTTTATATTTCTAAAAATTCCTTGTGTATTTTTTCTGATAACATAACTTTACTCAATTTGGAATATACAATATATGAGTGGTAAATTTATTTTTGTTGCACAAGAGAATAACCCAGTTTTCAAGGCCTATATTAATCGGCTTTTCCCATTCATCCTTTTCCTACTATTTTGAAAGATTATGCTATCATTCTCTAAGTGGGTTTGTACACATAGGTCTGTTCCCTTAGCTTCTTCCCTTGTGCCGATAATCTTCTCTTTTCTTATAACAAAATCATACTTAAAACAGCAACTGAGCATTAGCTGAATCACTCCTGCAACTTGATGATATGCTTGTATTTTTAAGGGCTAGCTCCTTACCTGTACCTCCCAGTTTTGTGCTTCCTCAAAAACTTCTATCAATTTTCCTCATATGTAATGTATATATTTGTGTATATTTCTTTGTCTATGTTTTCTAAATTCATTCTTCCAGATGAAGTTTAAAATTTTCTTGTCAATTTTTTTTAAAAAAACATGCTCATTTTTAAAATTGAGCCAAAGTGACCAATTCAGGGAGAACAGCCAATTCTATCATACTGAACTCTTTTAACCTGGCACAAGGCCTTGGTTCATTTGTTACACCTTTGTTTATGCTCTTGAATACAACTTTACAGTTTTCTTTCTATAGAACTCACACTTTTCTCATCAAGTTTATTCCAAACTAATTTAATATGTGTGCTACTAGTGCAATTGGGCATTTCAAACTGTCTATTGCTGATTTTTAAAAAAGTTTTGTCTGCTTTTAGTTTATATAGTAAACCAGCTGATGTCACTTATCAGTTTGTCAATTGATTTTTTGTCTTTTTGAGGAATGATTTCTTTTTTCTTTTCCAGCAATTCTATCACTTATGCATGAGTATTTATTTGGTGTTCTATTCATCAGGACTTCCACCATTGGGTTGAACAGTGACACTGGTGGAGGTATTGCTGTCTTGTTGCTGGAATATTTAATAAGAGCAGGTCTAGGACTTCCCACCAAATGCAATGCAGACCACACATCACTGTACTTGCCTGTTGTCAAGAACTTGTCCTGTACATTTTGTTTTCTAAGTAGCTTAGGTATTTGCTGGTTGGTTTGTTTATGTATATTCAGAAAAGAGAGTGAGTCTCTGCTCCAGTTTTATTGAGATGTAATTGACATATTATATTGCATTGGTTTAAGGTATGTAACATAATCATTTGATGTATGTATATTCTGCAAAACAGCACAATATAACTAACATCCTTCACCTCACATAGTTACACATGATTTTCTTGTGATGAGATCTCTTAAGATCTACTCTGTTAGCAACTTTCAAATATACAATACAGTATTGTTAACTCTAGTCACCATGCTGTACAGTACCTCCCCAGAATTATTTACCTTGTAACCAGAAGTTCATACCTTTTGACCACCTTCACCCATGTCTCTGTCCCCTTGTCTTCTGCCTCTAGCAACTATCATCTCTTCTCTGTGTCTAAGAGTTTGGGGTTTGTTTTCTTAGATTCCACATAGAAGAGATCATATAGTACCTGTCTTTCTTTTTCACTCGGGATAATGCCCTTAAGGTCCATCCGTTGTTGTAAATGGTAGGGTTTCCTTCTTTTTATGAATGAATGGCACTTCATTGTGTACATATGTGTATATCACATTCCATATCTATTCATCTGTTGCTTTCATGTCTTGGCTGTTGTGAATAACGCTGCTATGCACATAGGGGTGAAGGAATCTCTTTGAGATAGTGATATTTGTTTGCTTTGGATAGATACTTAGGAGTGGAATTTCTGCATCATATGACAGTTTTATTTTTAAATTTTTTAGGACGAATATCAATAGTGGCTGCACCAATTTACATTTCTACCTGCAGTGCACAGGTGCTCAAGAGGGTGAATTTTATTAAATAATTAACCAGCAATCAGGAATACTAGACAAAAGGGAGCTCACAGGAACCAAAAAACTACCAAGGAGGAAAACCAGCACTTTTCCATATTTCTCAACTTTTCCTAATACCCCTGAGAGAAGTGGCAGAAGTGTAAGGGGACTGTCATCGTACAACCCAAACTCCAGGCCAGTTAAAGCCAGGGCTTCTACAACTGCACCCCAACCTGAAGTTACAGAACTGCAAGCAGCTCTGAGCAGAAGAAAATATCGATTGATCTAAATTGCTCTTTGCAATCCTAAGTACTGGGTCTGATTTCTGCTTCTTATATTTGCTTAAACTAAATGGATGAACGGTTATAAATCCTGTCAGCCGAATTTCCTACCAGACCAATTTGGCAGGTGCCATAGAGATATAATTGCAGGTTTCATTTGGGCAGAAATATATTATTATCTAAGAATCAAATGTTTGCTAAATATCACTGAATTTGATAATACATTTTCTACAACTAAATATCTATGATTCCTACAACTAAATATCTATGCCAGAGGGAATTACTGTGAAAAGGCTATTTTTGTGGCTACTATCCATTCTCTCTGCCATTTTTGTAGCTCTCCATGAGACTTCCTTTTTTCATATTTGTGATATTTTGATATTCGTTTCCCTAAGAGTGATTATTGTTTAGATACAAAATGTACTTCTAGTTTTAGAAAAATGCAGTTGCACTTCCATAATCAGAACCAAAACTATCCTTAAGAAAGCAGGATTTCTAACAGCTATAGATAAATTTTCTTGGCTGTTTTAGTTAGTGCTCCTTTACAGTAAAATTTTACTTTAGTTCGGGTAAGAAGCTATGCGGTGTCCTACTGGGAAAAGAAGCTAATAAACCTAAGACTGCTAAAATTTTTCAGAAGCACATTACAGGAACAATGGAAAATTCCTTTTGCCTTTTTTGTATTTTTTATCTAAATTATATCCATAACTGCTACATATTTTACAATAGAAAGGAAATTAGTTCTTTCCCCAAAAGAATGTCCTCCTAGGAATTTCATTGTCTTTCACTAAATACCAAATGCTAATGCCCCAGGGAAGAGGCAACCAGGACAACAACAATTCTGCAAACATTTAGGACCATCTCACTCCTTTTGATACCCCTTCCCTTCATGCTGATATAAATACACCTGGAGAGACTGGTGTAGCACATGAAAATCCTATAATCCGACACAGCCTTTAAGATGAATTGGCAAAAATGTAAACCATTCCACAGGGGAGAAATTACAAATGGTGAATACATACTTTGTAGTAATAAAAGAGATTCGACTTTAAAAGCTAGATGTTATTTCATATCTACCAATTTGCATTTAGACTAATGTTGTACTATCCAATTCTAGTAAAACAGAAGCGCGCATCCGCCACTGGTGGTAATGAAGTTGGCGTGATGGCTTCAGAGATCAGTGACGCAGGCACGCGGCAGAGATGCTGCAGGTCATCCGGACCAGCACGGTGAAGGGAACATCACATAAAGCCAGTCAGACGAACTCTTGGGGTCCCAGTGCACCTGCAAGTTACGCTTACACTACACGGTAGTCTCTGTGCGAAATAGCATCACGTCTAAAAAAAAAGGCGATATGCACACCTTACCAAAATGAGGGCAAAGTGAGCAAATGCTGTTGGAAAAATGGTGCTGATGCAGTAGTTTGGCTTGGGGTCACCACAGACCTACTATCTGTAAAAAAACCAAAACCAAAAACAAAAAATTGCAGTACCTGGGAAGCAAAATTAAATATGTCAAGAGCAAAACTGATGCACACCTGCAGCCCAGAAAATGTACTCATGGGTATCAATTTTAAGTAACTCAAACTATGGAAAATTTATTATATAAACTTACATTCATTTCAGGATCACTGATGAAGATGAAACAATGAAGAAAAATACAGTGTTCACAGAAGGGTTTAATTAAGTGAATTACGGTACCCATGTAAAATCTTAAGCAGTCATAACCAATCTTATTTGTGAGAATTTACCCAAAGGAGACAAACTAAAAGGATGCAAAGTCTAATTGCAAAACAATATTTATTATAGTCTAAACTGCCATATTGAAAAGGCAAGGATCGTGGGATATGAACTTAATGTCTGCTCTGGGTTAAAATGATTCTGTGGGCCTAGTTCTTCCCATTTTCTTGGATGACAATGACCTTGGGTCTCATGATTCTCCCATTCATTCTTAGACAATAAAAAGCCTTACCACTACTTAAACAAAAATGAACAAATACAAGTGACTTATAAATTTTGTTTTAGAATGAAATTTTTACTCTAGTAGGGTAAGAACAACTTTATATTTGTTGCAAATCATTATGCGTCTTCTCCCTGGTCTCAGTCCCGCAATGGAAAGGGGGAGACACGGCAGGTGTTTTTCCTTTGCACACTTACATTTCCTCTTCGTCCTGCCCACACCACCTTTCGTTTCCTAAGGGGCACCCTGTCTGACTTGACTGGTGGTGTTATGAGACAACATAGGCACTCCTTGGGCTTGATGGGGATTTAAACTGATCCAAGACCCTCCTACTCCTAAAGGTTTCTTAACTGATACTGGGAAAGCATCTCTAATGATGGGTTGCTGGTAATTTTACTAACTTCTGAGGCATCTGGCAATTCTCCTCTTTTAGAGATTTAGTTAAGATAGTCTGCACACATTCTTTGCCCAGCAGATGCAGTGACCTCTCCTCGCCAGCCCACAGCACTTTCGGTTTTTCATGTCTGTGCCAGACCAGGCAGCTGGATCCTAAGGCTGAGGACTTTTGTAGGACACTCTTGGATCCCTTCTCATGGGCTAAGGTGAAAACGCCCTCATCCTCTCTATGGAGCGTGGGGACAGGTCATACCTCAGGCAGCTCTTCCTAGAGGTCGATTTCTCTCCTTCTAGTCCCCCAAACCCTTTGGCCCCTTTGCTTACAAGCCCTTATTTTGGGACTTCAAGGATATAAAGTCTAAAGTAGTCCTATTCCAAAATTCTGTACAAAATACACTGTTTATTATAACCACAAAGCAGAAACATTCTAAATATCCAACAATAGGGAAATAGGTCAGTCATTTAGTACTTACTTGGAATATGATATAGCCATTAAAAAAATCAACAACAGCCCTGGCTGGTGTAGCTCAGTGGATTTAGCATGGGCTGCAAACCAAAGGGTTGCCAGTTCAATTCCCAGTCAGGGCACATGCCTGGGTTTCAGGCCAGGTCTCCAGTGGGGGCCACATGAGAGGCAACCACACAGTAATGTTTCTTTCCCTCTCTTTCTCCCTCCCTTCCCCTCTCTAAAAATAAATAAGTAAAATCTTTAAAACAATAACAACAAGTTGCCACGTAGGGACATGTTAGATTTAGAACCAAATCTTTGTTACTGCAAAGGTCTAGGATTCAACAGAGCCAGTTTGGTCCCCACTTTGTGTAGGACCAGGCACAGGAGTGGACACAGCCCCTGAACTCTCTGTGTGTTTGAATCCTCATCCATAAAATAAAAATCACTGCATTCCGGGACCCTCAAGTTCCCTTCCACTTCATTCATTTTGAATCTCAGATTTTGTAAAATGACACTTTGGCCTTTAGAAAGCTTTTAGCACCAGGAGTTTCACGCAAACCTTCAGCTTTCAGAATGACCAGTTCTAGACCACAGCATGGAGCATTAAGGAGCGTACGCATCACCACCGTACTTATAAACAAACGCTTGCGGAAGGGTTAGTGAGCTTGTGGCTCTGTCATGGGCACAGGAGCAAGACTACATTTGGGAGGTAGGGGGCATCGGCCCTCAGCCCCTTCCAGGACACGTCTTTCAAGCGCATGGAGATGAATGCAGCCTTGATCAAAGTGCTGTCCTTCAAGTTCTTTGTAGTGTGATTGCTACAAACTGCTCTGGTGAGAGCATTCAGAACCAGGTTTCTGTCATCTATATTTCATAATATCAATGGACTCAGAATCCTCTGTAATTCTCACTTTTATGTACATTTCAAGTAGCTACAGTGGGAGGCATATAAGGCTATTACAATTTGGAGAAAGACCTTTAAAGAACATTTATTTTTAAGTCAAAGGCATTGTTGGATTAGCTATAGAATTGCCAATGTAATTAGAGTAAATCAAAATGTTCTTGCATGAGTTTCATTTTTAGGAAATGTTAATTGCATATTGTTTTATGCTCTGTCTATATGACGAACTTTCCTAATTAGGTTATGAGTTTTGGTTTGAAGGTCCAACCTCAGGGTAATTAAAGCATGGGTAATTACCATGTTTTCTAAAACTTATACCCTGAAAGTATTGTGCCTTACCTTCTTAAAGAACATAGTTTTTTTTACCTTTTTTCTTCCTTAGAAAGAACACTGTGGAATAGTTATGGATGGGCTGCTTGGATGATAAGAAATGGGCTTCATTTTGTACAGTCATGTTCTTGCTGTACTGAGTAAGCAATATATATCAGAGAGAGAGGCCAATGGTGGTCATTTAAAAATTCTGCCTATGTCATTCAGGCCCAGCTTGGGCAACAGAAGTCCCTTCTTATGCCAAAAATGGAAGTGCCATTCAATTATAGACATATTTCTAGTAAATTCCCCAGAACATGGAGAAGTTGTAATGCTCTAGGCTTATGGTTAGATATCAGTTTTTGCAAGCAGCATCAAAAGCTTATCTTCTTAGAGAAAGAAGAAAGAGAAGGGGAGGAAAAAGAGAATGAACATGAAGCAAGTGACTATAAGATGAAAAAAAAAGATACTTAGATTCCAAGGGAAAATAACAAAGAAGGGGAGCAGGTGAGATTATGGACACTTGAGAAATCAAATGAGGTGGAAAAGACTAGGCAATGAGGTCTATAAAAGAGGTGAATTCTGTCTGGGAGGAAAAATCATTCGTCAAGATGATCAAAGGACTACAGAAAATGGGGCTTTCTTGCAAAGCCTCACACATGTTCTGTCCTCACTCAGTTCGCTTCGCATTCCCTGGGACCTAGAAAAACAAGGAAAGCCCTGCTGGAACCCTGAGACTCCCGACACCCATGCAGTGGCAAACACGAATGTTCTCCCCTCTGTTGTTCCAGTACAGCCTCCTTCTGGAGTGAGTGGGTGATGGTGCAACAAGACAGCCATTCCTACTCTCAACTTACCGTGATTCAAGACAGTTTAGCTCACTCCAGGCCCAGTTTCCTCCCTGGTAAAATGGAGATAATAAGAAATGCTTAATAATAGCCAGAATTAAATATGTTAATGTATGTAACCTCTCCTGACCACCCTAGAAGATCAGTACATTCTTCTTCACAACCTGATGACAACATTATCACTTTCAAGGTAATATTGACATTCGTCTTTCAGGCATTAGTTTCTCCTGGCTTTACCTGGCCCTCAACTCAGCCATGCTAGTAATGACCACTCTAGACCATCAAGATCCCTGGCTGCTCCACACTCTCCTTTTTACAAGGACCATACAATATTTCAGCTGCCTTTATTCCTCCATGATTTACATGTTGCTGTCACTTCGATTTCTTTCTGTTTTAAAGTCCACAACTCGTAGTTTTGGTTTTATATTTAACTATTTGTTTACGTATTCTACATATTTGCCACTCTCAGTGTTTTTGATTTATTTTTGTACCTGCAACTTTTCCACCGGAATCATTTTTCTCCTACCAGGAAAATTTTCTTCAGGGGCAAGCTGTCTGTTCTGCTTATCTGAAAATTCCTTGTTCTGTCCTCATTGTCCTTGAAGGATTTTCGCTGAATATAGATTCCTGAGTTTTCTCTCAATGCATTGAGAATATAATTCCACTGTTCTCATGCTTCCATTGTTTCTACTGAGAAATCTGTTTCTGGTTTATGTAATACTTTACATGTGATCTGTTTTGTTTTTTTTTTAATCTCTGGCTGCCTTTAACATTTCCTTCTATTTGATTACTTGATGTTCTACAGTTTCAGTAAAAAGCCTGGAGGTAAAGATTTCTTAGCCTGTTTGGGATTTCTAGTGTTTATGAACTGATGTCTTTCATTGGTTTTGGAAAATTCTCAGCCATGTTCTTCAAATATTGCCTTTTCTCCTTCCATCCTCTTAAACTATAATTCTGTCCTTTTCCTTCATTCCTTTGGTTATATTTACAAAGTAAGAAGTTGTATTTGTTGGCTCCATTTTTTATTTTTACCAAATATCACTATTTATTGCTCTATATCCTGAATTTTTCTTATCATACTGAAACTGATTTCTTCAAGTTTTTCTCTTTATTTCTACTCACTAAATCCAAATGGTTTACCCTAGTTGTCATTCTCCTCATTTTCTATGTAGAATTCTACAGTATTTACCATCTTTTTCTTTTGTCTTAAAATTTCTCCTTTTTTTCTGACATTAAAAGAAAATTAATTTGATATCATTTTGCTATCAAAAGGGAATATCTTTTCAATATTCCCTTTTCTCCTCTTCACTTCAAAACTGCAAATTATATAGATGGTTCCTACGTTTTCTTTTCCACCATATATTTTTTCTCTCTGACATCTTTTTCTCGAAGATCCCATTGCCTGCCAACTCCCTACTCGTGGCTGCCGTACCTGCACTGGGGGCCGATTGCCAGTTGGTGGCGCTGCCCACAGCACCGTGTGTTTATAACCACTGCGAGTTCGGGCTTGTCAGCACCAGGCTCCACAGGTTACCTATTTTGAAGATACACTCTGATTATGACCCCCCAATTTCTACCTCTTAACACGTTTCAGTACCATATTTTCAGTTGCTTTGGGGACATTCCCATTTGACATACATTGGAGATAAACTCAAATCTAAAGTTAGGATCATTCGCTCCACCCCCTCACCCAACTTTTCTCACCAAATTTTGTTACCCATATCAATATATCTCTTAATAACAGCACTTGCTTTTTCCTAGTCCCTCAGATATGAAATATCAGAAACATCTTAGATTTTATCCTTTTTAATTCTATGTCCTACCTATTGAAAATTTCCCATTTTTCTTCTTTGTAGAGTTTTGAATTTCTGTCCCTTTTCTCTCTATTAACATTGGCATAACGAAATCTAAACACCTTCATAAGATGTGGACTTCTAACTGATCTTCACTTTTATCTCTCCGACATGCCAGAACCACTTTCCTAACGATGTTTCCTGTTCACGAAAGCCACTGTAGCTTAGAGCGATACTTCTTACATTATCTGTGTCGACAGCCCAATTTTGATTTTGTTTTAACTTCCAATTCAGAAGCAACAGTACCTTTGTAAAATACAATAAAATAAATTGTACAAAAATTTAAAAAAGACGTACAAAATAGAGCACCATTTATTAGGTTATGTGTTTTAATACCAATAATATAATTACTTCATCACTGAGATCTTGCCATTTGTGACAACCTGGATGGACCTGGAGGGTATTATACTAAGTAAAACCACAAGCTGAATAGAGAAAGACAAATACCATAGTATTTCATGCATATGAGGAATCTAAAATAAACAAAACAAAACAAAACTAACAACCAAACGGAACGAAGCAGACTCGTAAACACAGAGGGACAAACTCATTGCTGCCAGAGGGGAGGAGGGTGGGAGCATGGGTGGGAGGGTTGGTGGGATAGGTGAAGGGGAGTAAGTGTTACAGTCTCCCAGTTATAAAGCAAATAAGTCATGAGGATATAGTGTAAAGCATAGGGGATACAGTCAATAATATTGCAGTAACTTTGTGTGGTGACAGATAATTACTAGATTCATCATGGTAATCATTTTGTAAAGTATATAAATGTCAAATCCCTGAAACTAGCATAATATTGTGTCAACTGTATTTCAATAAAAATTATTCCATCCAATTGCTGTAGCATTTCTGTGCTCTCACTCTCTTTCTGGATGGGAGCAGTCTGCCCAGAGACTGCACATTGAGTGGACTGCACTTCCATCACCTCGACACTGATTCTCTACATTGCCTATGGATAGGGATCAATAGAGGGGTTTTAAAATATGCAGATGTCCGTGCCCCTAAGCTCTAATGAACAGAATATCTGGGAGCGTTGCCAAGGTGTGGGCATTTCAAAAAGGCTGTAAAATTGATTCTGACACTCAGCCAGGGCTAAGAACTACTGGCTTATGGACAAGAGTGCACATTTTCAATTCTCTATAATCTGGCTTCCAATCTACTCTTTAAATATTGTCACAACCACTTCTTTCTTATTGCTCAAATTTCAGTCACCCAGGACATTTAGCCTTTCCAAGATATGATCTTCTTTTGCCAACCTCCCATGCCTGGTCCCCACCTTTACTTCAGTCTGGAATGTCCGCTCCAGCTTCTCTTCCTACGAACATCTAATCTGTCCACAAGTGCTCTTATACTGGAAATGACCCTTGAAAATAAGGGTCATATTTATGACCCTTCATAAATATGAAGCCATTATGGGTGATTTTGCCCTCATCTAAATGTCTTTACTACTTTGATACTTAAAACACTTATGATAGTTTATTTACATTCTGGCTGTAGTTGAATTGTAGTATAGAGGAAAAAATGTTATATTCAGGTTAACTGCATCTGAGTCTGGATTCCACATCTTCCAAAATGTATGATCTTGGATGAGCCCAGTAAGTTCTCCAAACCTGGGCATGAAAACCCCAACCTTTTTATCACAAGGTAAGTGTCTAAAAAGAGAGGAAAGAAGGAAAAAGAAAGACAAAAGAAAGAAAAACGAAGAAACCCTGGGGAGACTGAAGGCTGTCTTGATCTGATGCAGGTTCAGAAAGTGAAAAACAGTTTCCTGGGCTGGAGGGTGACTGAATGTTTTAGCGTGAGAATGAAAGAGTGGGTTTTAGGAAAGCTTTCTAAATTCTTTTTCCTTTTCAATTTTTCTCCCAGAGTGGCTCAAATTAGCAACAGTTCAGATTGTTAAGCACATAGCATGAAATTATATCCAGGCAGATCTAAAGTCCTGCTGGGGTGAGGAATTTTTTAAAGCAGTTATTGACTTAGCCTCCCTTCCTCTAGCTTCCTAATGACTAGAGATGACCCTCTACCGAGGGGGCCTCATCCCAAGGTTTAAAGCATAAAATGACCAGAGGGAGTGTCTCATAGAGTCATTGATGTCAGTGATTTGATGCCTCGGTTCTCTACACTTAATCTTATCCCCACTTTTTCCCTTAAATGTACCCGAGACTGTCACAAAATATGGCCTGGCATATAGTGTTCTATATGCATTACTTGTGTTTAAGCTAAAATGAAACACAAAGACATAGGCACTATATACTGTAAATGAAAATTATTAAAGTAGGCCAATATTTTTTAAAAAATAAATAGTAAATATAATTAAGACAATAATTGATTAGTGATCTGAAAAAACAAACAAACCCAGAACAGTAAGAGTAAAAGGGAAATACTAGATAAGAAAATGCAATACTGATACAAAGAACACAAGAAATGGAGTAAGTAGTTTTATGGGTACAACTGAAGAGCAAATAAGTGACTTTAAATATTAGATTAAGAAACTATCTGAAGGAGAGCAAATAAGAATAAAGAGGTAGAAAAAATATATTTTTAAAAAGCTAAACGATATAGAGAATAGGTATTCACCAATACCTGAATAAGTCCCGAAAAGAGGGGGAAAAAGGAAGGAGAATAGACATTTTTCAAAATTAAAAAAAGTTGAAAAACTTCAAATTGATAGGGCTTATCAGGGGCTAAATGGACAGGTAATAAAACGTTCATATTTAGATATTACAATGAAAAGGAAGAATTCAAGAGCAAAAAAAATAATTTAATCAAAAAGGTCATCCGCAAAGAAAAAAATCAGATTTGAAAACTGAAAATAAGACAGTGTAGTGTTACATCTAAAGTACTGAGAGAAAAAGAACCAAAAATTTAACTGGAGAAGTTGATGTCTAAAGATTAAAGCTTAATGAAAGTATTTCTCATATATAAAATGTCTCAGAGCTTTAACCATAAAATGGCCCCTCACTTAAAACACCCACTGAAGTGAAGCTTATGTTAAAAGCAAAATGAAAAGTAAAGAGGAACAAATATCTTAGCTAAACTTATTTTTATGTTAGGTAAGTAAAAGTAGAAATGAATAAAAAATAAAAGTAAAAGGACAACATCTCAAAACTAAAATTATCAATAATAACAGAATATTAAGAGATAAGACAAAAGAAATATGAAGAAATCATCAGTTTTTATTGTGTTAGAAGATACAAATATTT